TCGTGAAATCGAGAAATTGAAAAATCAAAAAACTCAAATCAAAACACTGGAATCTCAATTAATATAGAAAATTCGAAAAATCGAAGCTTCAAAAAACTGAAACATCGAGAAAAATTGAGAAATCGAAATGGCCGAAATTGAAAAAACAAAAAAACCCAAAAGTTGCCAAATCGAGAAATTGAATATTCGAAAAATTTAAACATCCGAAAAAATATCGATAAATCGAGAAACTGGGAAATCTAAAAACTTAAAAATCAAACAATCGAAGTAGTCGAAAGATCGGAAAATCGGTCAATCGAAACAAAAAATCGAGAACATAAAATACTGAAAAATCCAGAAATTGAAAAATTCAAAATTGAAATGTTGGAAAATCGAAAAATTGAAAACTTGAAAAATCGAGAAATCTAAAATTTGAAAATTCGAAAAATCTTAACATCGAAACTCCCAGATGTCAAGAAATCGGACCAAAAAATCGTGAAATCGAGAAATTGAAAAATCAAAAAACTCAAATCAAAACACTGAAAACTCAATTAATATAGAAAATTCGAAAAATCGAAACTTCAAAAAACTGAAACATCGAATAATCGAAAAATTGAGAAATCGAAATGGCCGAAATTGAAAAAACAAAAAAACCCAAAAGTTGCCAAATCGAGAAATTGAATATTCGAAAAATTTAAACATCCGAAAAAATATCGATAAATCGAGAAACTGGGAAATCTAAAAACTTAAAAATCAAAAAATCGAAGTAGTCGAAAGATCGGAAAATCGGTCAATCGAAACAAAAAATCGAGAACTTAAAATACTGAAAAATCCAGAAATTGAAAAATTCAAAATTGAAATGTTGGAAAATCCAAAAATTGAAAACTTGAAAAATCGAGAAATCTAAAATTTGAAAATTCGAAAAATCTTAAGATCGAAACTCGCAGATGTCAAGAAATCGCACCAAAAAATCGTGAAATCGAGAAATTGAAAAATCAAAAAACTCAAATCAAAACACTGGAAACTCAATTAATATAGAAAATTCGAAAAATCGAAACTTCAAAAAACTGAAACATCGCATAATCAAAAAATTGAGAAATCGAAATGGCCGAAATTGAAAAAACAAAAAAACCCAAAAGTTGCCAAATCGAGAAATTGAATATTCGAAAAATTTAAACATCCGAAAAAATATCGATAAATCGAGAAACTGGGAAATCTAAAAACTTAAAAATCAAAAAATCGAAGTAGTCGAAAGATCGGAAAATCGGTCAATCGAAACAAAAAATCGAGAACTTAAAATACTGAAAAATCCAGCAATTGAAAAATCGAGAAATCTAAATTTGAAAATTCGAAAAATCTTAACATCGAAACTCCCAGATGTAAAGAAATCGCACCAAAAAATCGTGAAATCGAGAAATTGAAAAATCAAAAAACTCAAATCAAAACACTGAAAACTCAATTAATATAGAAAATTCGAAAAATCGAAACTTCAAAAAACTGAAACATCGAATAATCGAAAAATTGAGAAATCGAAATGGCCGAAATTGAAAAAACAAAAAACCCAAAAGTTGGCAAATCGTGAAATTGAATATTCGAAAAATTTAAACATCCGAAAAAATATCGATAAATCGAGAAGCTGGGAAATCTAAAAACTTAAAAATCAAAAAATCGAAGTAGTCGAAAGATCGGAAAATCGGTCAATCGAAACAAAAAATCGAGAACTTAAAATACTGAAAAATCCAGAAATTGAAACATTCAAAATTGAAATGTTGGAAAATCTAAAAATTGAAAACTTGAAAAATCGAGAAATCTAAAATTTGAAAATTCGAAAAATCTTAACATCGAAACTCCCAGATGTCAAGAAATCGCACCAAAAAATCATAAAATCGAGAAATTGAAAAAACAAAAAACTCAAATCAAAACACTGGAAACTCAATTAATATAGAAAATTCGAAAAATGGAAACTTCAAAAAACTGAAACATCGAATAATCGAAAAATTGAGAAATCGAAATGGCTGAAATTGAAAAAACAAAAAAACCCAAAAGTTGCCAAATCGAGAAATTGAATATTCGAAAAATTTAAACATCCGAAAAAATATCGATAAATCGAGAAACTGGGAAATCTAAAAACTTAAAAATCAAAAAATCGAAGTAGTCGAAAGATCGGAAAATCGGTCAATCGAAACAAAAAATCGAGAACTTAAAATACTGAAAAATCCAGAAATTGAAAAATTCAAAATTGAAATGTTGGAAAATCGAAAAATTGAAAACTTGAAAAATCGAGAAATCTAAAATTTGAAAATTCGAAAAATCTTAACATCGAAACTCCCAGATGTCAAGAAATCGCACCAAAAAAATCGTGAAATCGAGAAATTGAAAAATCAAAAAACTCAAATCAAAACACTGGAAACTCAATTAATATAGAAAATTCGAAAAATCGAAACTTCAAAAAACTGAAACATCGAATAATCGAAAAATTGAGAAATCGTAATGGCCGAAATTGAAAAAACAAAAAACCCAAAAGTTGGCAAATCGTGAAATTGAATATTCGAAAAATTTAAACATCCGAAAAAATATCGATAAATCGAGAAGCTGGGAAATCTAAAAACTTAAAAATCAAAAAATCGAAGTAGTCGAAAGATCGGAAAATCGGTCAATCGAAACAAAAAATCGAGAACTTAAAATACTGAAAAATCCAGAATTTGAAAAATTCAAAATTGAAATGTTGGAAAATCGAAAAATTGAAAACTTGAAAAATCCAGAAATCTAAAATTTGAAAATTCGAAAAATCTTAACATCGAAACTCCCAGATGTCAAGAAATCGCACCAAAAAATAGTAAAATCGAGAAATTGAAAAATCAAAAAACTCAAATCAAAACACTGGAAACTCAATTAATATAGAAAATTCGAAAAATCGAAACTTCAAAAAACTGAAACATCGAATAATCGAAAAATTGAGAAATCGAAATGGCCGAAATTGAAAAAACAAAAAAACCCAAAAGTTGCCAAATCGAGAAATCTAAATTTGAAAATTCGAAAAATCTTAACATCGAAACTCCCAGATGTAAAGAAATCGCACCAAAAAATCGTGAAATCGAGAAATTGAAAAATCAAAAAACTCAAATCAAAACACTGAAAACTCAATTAATATAGAAAATTCGAAAAATCGAAACTTCAAAAAACTGAAACATCGAATAATCGAAAAATTGAGAAATCGAAATGGCCGAAATTGAAAAAACAAAAAACCCAAAAGTTGGCAAATCGTGAAATTGAATATTCGAAAAATTTAAACATCCGAAAAAATATCGATAAATCGAGAAGCTGGGAAATCTAAAAACTTAAAAATCAAAAAATCGAAGTAGTCGAAAGATCGGAAAATCGGTCAATCGAAACAAAAAATCGAGAACTTAAAATACTGAAAAATCCAGAAATTGAAACATTCAAAATTGAAATGTTGGAAAATCTAAAAATTGAAAACTTGAAAAATCGAGAAATCTAAAATTTGAAAATTCGAAAAATCTTAACATCGAAACTCCCAGATGTCAAGAAATCGCACCAAAAAATCGTGAAATCGAGAAATTGAAAAATCAAAAAACTCAAATCAAAACACTGGAAACTCAATTAAAATAGAAAATTCGAAAAATCGAAACTTCAAAAAACTGAAACATCGAAAAATTGAGAAATCGAAATGGCCGAAATTGAAAAAACAAAAAAACCCAAAAGTTGCCAAATCGAGAAATTGAATATTCGAAAAATTTAAACATCCGAAAAAATATCGATAAATCGAGAAACTGGGAAATCTAAAAACTTAAAAATCAAACAATCGAAGTAGTCGAAAGATCGGAAAATCGGTCAATCGAAACAAAAAATCGAGAACTTAAAATACTGAAAAATCCAGAAATTGAAAAATTCAAAATTGAAATGTTGGAAAATCGAAAAATTGAAAACTTGAAAAATCCAGAAATCTAAAATTTGAAAATTCGAAAAATCTTAACAGACGGACAGACGGACAGACAGACGGAAATGGGAGACCTATTTCTTCGTCTTCTAGGGGTCATGAAAGATCGAGAAAACGTAAAAGTAGAGAGTCGGCCGACGGACTCGATTACAATACTTCCTTTGCTTACGCTCGGGAAGTAAAAAGTGAAGACATGACACATGTGGCAACAGGAAAAGATGCTACATTTGTCTGAAAAATAAAGATATAAAACAGTAACAAATATGCGATTTATGCGAGAGAAATGTATGTATTGAACATTCGATTAGTCGATTAAAAAACTAATTTGTGTTAATTGAAAAAATTAATCTTTATGTAACACGCAGTTATTATTTTCTAAAAATAATAACATACCTTAAACAAATATTTTTACTATTAAAATTACCCTTATTTAATAACACAAATACAACCAGCGGGCCTACCGGACCCGGGTTGCTCAGGTACACAGATAAAATGCATTGCCCCGACAAGAGTAAAACGCAGTGAATAGTCAATTGTGGTTTATGGTTTTTAAAATACCATCTTACCATGGATTAGATTTATTACCCCTCAGGATTATATTTAAAGATGTATAAGTACTGAAGGCTACAATGTAGGAAATGATGGTATTTAAAATATGAAAATTTCCGTGACAGAACACTATTAGTGGACCTCTTACCTCTATTTTTGTTTATGTGACCAAAATCACCAACATGAAGTATCAAAAATTACTACTAGTATAACTCAACTAACAACTACTGAAAAAAAAGTGAAATAAAAAAATGTATCTGTATCTGCGCCATTAATTTTGTATCTAGATACAGATATTTTGTCCTTAAATTCGATTTTATCTAGATACAAATACTAGATACCCAAAAATGTATATAGAAACTTTATTTAGTTACAAGTATCTAGATACTGCCCAACACTGGTAACTTTGAAACCATTTTGACAAAGTGTAATAGTGCGTCCGAGTGAGGACGCGGTACTGTAGATAGAATAAACGACGTTCGTATACAATGTTGATTGATTTTACGCTTAACAGTGACGATAGCCCGCAAGAAGCAGAGGGATCCGATGATGCGCGGTCAAACCAGGGCAGAAATGCGCCAAAACAAGTACAGATACTTGTACCAAGTCCGCACAGCGCACGGAGATGTCATCAGTCGGGTATCTCGCTTTTCGCTGTTCTTGCACACCTTCATTCTCGTTTTCTTGTAGAATTTCGTGCAAGCTATGCAAAACAAAGATGTGCAACAAGGCGGAGGTGTCGGTGAGTGTAGTACGCTGCAATCTGATGCCACCCATTTGACTATCTTGCCAGATTTACAATTAGCAGCGTACGCAGAAAGCGAAGACGACAGCCAGACAGAGGTCATCACGCACCGTCAGTGAGATTTATTGTTTTCATTTCAATTGTGAGAAGAAACGAAACCAAAAGAAAATATTTATTATTGTGTACATTTCTATGGTATTTTTGTCATATCTTTTTAAGACAATAATGACAACAGAAGATGGTTATGTTTGGCGATTTTATTGTCTTTTCAAACAAAGTAGGAGTATTTTCTGGACGGAATATGTTCTCTTGTTTGTATTATTTTAATAAAGAAAGACACCCCCAAAGTTGGTTATTTGTACTGATTTTGCAAAACCACCCTTATTGACATTGGAGTCCTCAACCGCCAAAGACAAGCGCCAAATTTAAATAGTCGATCAAAATAAAAAACTTGTTTCACTACAACTCGTAGCCTGAGAACTTGTTTTATCTACAGACCAGAGCGCGCTCAGGCCAATGTCGACTCTAAGCGTTCAGAAGCGATTTGGTTGGTTTGGACTATGATTTCTGCGGGAAATAGTTGTTTGGTCGGTTTTTATAACGACTAAGTGAATATTTTTGGTACATATTTAGATGATTTAACATATTTTGTTTATCTAAGAATTAATTGTTTATTTGTGTTTTATACTAGCAAAACGTCTTAAACTAAGAATATTGTTGAAATCGTAATAAACCAATGAATTTTTTTCGGGAAAATGTTTGGATACACTGTTCTATTTTGTATGAATTTTTAAAATGTATTTAGTGACAATTTTTGGGGTTGTTTTCGATACACTGTCTGATTTTAACAGTGAGAAAAAAAATGAAAAATTAAAATAATCGAAAAATCCAAACCTTAAAAAATCGTAAAACCGAAACATTGAAAAATCGAAATATCGAAGAACTGAAAATCGAAAAAATGTAAAATTCAAAAATCTAAAATATAAAAACCGAATAATGAAAAATCGAAACATCGAAAAACTGGAAAATCAAAAAACCGAGAAATCGAAAAATCAAAAGATCAAGAAATCGAGGAGTCGAAAAGTGAGAAACCGAAATAGGCCAAAATTGAAAAATTGAACAATTTATAAATTGAGAAATTGACAATCAAAATATCGAGAAATTAAAAAAAAAATAAAAATTGAAAAAATCTAAAATTGAAAAATCGAAAAAGTAAAATAATCGACACATCGAAAAATCCAGGAGTCAAAAAGTCGAAGAATCGAAATATTGAAAAATCCGAAAACTGAAATATCTAAAAACCTAAAAATACCTAAAAAGTCGAAAAATTGAGCAATCGAAAAATTCAAAAATTAAAGAATTGAGGAACAGGAAAATCGAAAAATTGAGAGTTTATAAGTCAAATTTGAAAAATTAAAAATCGAAAATTTGACAAAATGACAATTGAAAAACAGAAAATCTAAAAACCGGGAAGTCGAAAAATCGAAAGATTAAGAGATCGAAACATTTCAAAAATTCGAAAACTTGAAAAATTCAAATATCGAAGAACTGATCAGAAAAATCGAAAAATCTAAAATTTAAAAAATCTAAAATTGAAAAATCGAAAAAGTAAAATAATCGACACATCGAAAAATCCAGGAGTTTTATAACGACTAAGTGAATATTTTTGGTACATATTTAGATGGTTTTACATATTTCGTTTAACTAAGAATTAATTCTTTATTTGTGTTTTATACTAGCAAAACGTCTTAAACTAAGAATATTGTTGAAATCGTGATAACCCATTTTTTTCGGGAAAATGTTTTGGAAACACTGTGTTCTATTTTGTATGAATTTTTAAATGTTTTTAGTGACCATTTTTGTGGTTGTTTTCGATACACTGTATGATATTAACAGTGAGAAAAAAAAATTAAAAATTAAAATACATAAAAAAAAATCGAGAAATAGAAACTCCCAAATTTAAAAAATCGGATAACTGAAAAATCTAAAGATCAAGAAATCGTGGAGTCGAAAAGCCGAACAATTGAAAAACCGAAATAGGCCAAAATCGAAAAGTTAAAAATTGAACAATTCATAAATTGAGAAATTGACAATCGAAAAATCCAAATTTCGATAAATCGAGAAATAAAAATAAAAAATTCGAAAAATTGAAAAATTGAGAGATTGAAAGATCAAAAGAACGAGAAATCAAAAAGGTGAAGTCGAAAAATCTTAAAAAATTGAAAAATAAAAAAAATTAAAGAATTGAAGAACAGGAAAATCGAAACACTCGAAGGTCAAGAAATGAGAAAATCAAAACATAGATTAGTTGAAAAATCGAAAAATTGAGAGTTGATGAAAGTCAAATTTGAAAAATTAAAAAATTGAAGATTTGACAAAATGACAATTGAAAAACAAAAAATCTAAAATCGGGAAGTCGAAAAATCAAAAGATTAAGAAATCGAAACTTTTTGAAAAATTCAAAAACTTGAAAAATTGAAATATCGAAGAACTGAAATGAATAATCGAGAAATTGAAAAATCAAAAATTTTAAAAGTTAAAAAATCCAGGAGTCAAAAATCGAAAAGTCGAAGAATCGAAATATTCAAAAATCCGAAAACTGAAATTTCCAAAAACTGAGAACCTAAAAAGTTGAAAAATTGAGCAATCGAAAAATCCAAAAAGTGAAGTCGAAATATCGAAACCTTAAAAAAATCGAAAAATTAAAAAATCAAAAACCTGCAAAATCGTAAAATCGAAAAATTAAATAATAAGTAAACTGAAAAATCCCAAAACTGAAATGTCCAAAAACTGAGAAATTGAAAAATTGAGAAGTCGAAAAATTAAAAAATCAAAAACCTGCAAAATCGTAAAATCGAAAAATTAAATAATAAGTAAACTGAAAAATCCCAAAACTGAAATGTCCAAAAACTGAGAAATTAAAAAATTGAAAAATTGAGAAATCGAAAAATCCAAAAAGTGAAGTCGAAAAATCGAAACCTTAAAAAAACTAAAAATCTAAAAATTAAAGAATTGAACAGGAATATCGAAACCCTCGAAAGTCAACAAATGGGAAAATCAAAACATCGATTAATTGACAAATCGAAAAATTGAAAGTCAAATTTGAAAAATTAAAAAATCGAAAATTCGACAAAATAACAATTCAAAAACAGAAAATCTAAAACCAGGAAGTCGAAAAATCAAAAGATTAAGAAATCGAAACATTTGAAAAATTCGAAAACTTGAAAACCTGAAATATCGAAGAACTGAAATGAAAAATCGAGAAATCGAAAAATCGAAAATTTTAAATATTGAAAAATTAAAATATCAAAAAACGAGAAATCGAAAAGTGATGAAGTCGAAAAATAGAGCAATCGACAAACAAAAAGTTAAAAGTAGAAAAACTGAGAAACCGAAATAGGCCAAAATAAAAAATTGAAAAACAGAACATCTAAAACCAGGAAGTCGAAAAATCGAGAGATTAAGAAATATTGAAAAATTAAAATATCAAAAGATTGAAAAATCTAAAACTAAAAAATCCAAAAATTGAAAAATCGAAAAAAAAAGGTAGACACATCGAAAAATCCAGAAGTCAAAAATAGAAAAGCCGAAGAATTGAAATATTGAAAAAACCTAAAACTGAAATATCTAAAAACTGAAAAATCGAAAAATCAAAAAAGTGAAGTCGAAAAATAGAAACCTTAAAAAATCGAGAAATTGAAAAATCAAAAACCTGAAAAATCAAAAAATTAAAGAATTGAAGATCAGGAAAATCGAAACACTCGAAGCTCATGAAATGGGAAAATCAAAACATCGATTAATTGAAAAAACGAAAAATTGAGAGTATTAAAGTCAAACTTGAAAAATTAAAAAATCGAAAATTTGACAAAATGACAATTGAAAAACAGAAAATCTAACACAGGGAAGTCGAAAAATCAAAAGATTAAGAACTCGAAACATTTGAAAAATTCAAATATCGAAGAACTGAAATAAAAAATCCAGAAATCGAAAAATCGAAAATTTTAAAAGTTAAAAAATCTAAAATTTAAAAATCCAAAAAGTAAAAAAATCGACACATCGAAAAATCCAGGAGTCAAAAATCGAAAAGTCGAAGAATCGAAATATTGAAAAATCCCAAAACTGAAATATCGAAAAACTGAAACATGAAAGAAAAATTGAAAAATCGAAAACCTATAAAGTCGAAAAATTGAGCAATCTGAAAATCCAAAAAGTAAAGTCGAAAAATCGAAACTAAAAAAAAATGAAAAATCAAAAACCTGAAAAATCGAAAAATTAAAGAATTGAAGAACAGGAAAATCGAAAGATCGATTAATTGAATAATCGAAAAATTGATAAATTAAGAAATCAAAACATTTGAAAAATTCGAAAACTTGAAAAACTGAAAAATCGAAGAATTGAAATGAAAAATCGAAAAATAGAGAAATCGACAAACAAAAAGTTATAAGTTGAAAAATTGAAAAAGAGGAAAAATCTAAAAACGAAAAACTGGAAAACTGGAAAAACTGAGAAACCGAAATAGGCCAAAATAAAAAATTGAAAAACTGATAAATCGAAAACCTGAACAATCAAATGTCGATAAATCGGGAATGAAAAATTAACAAATCGAAAAATTGAAAAACAGAACATCTAAAACCAGGAAGTCGAAAAATGGAAAGTTTAAGAAATATTGAAAAATTAAAATCTCAAAGGATTGAAAAATCTAAAATTTAAAAATCTAAAAATTGAAAAATCGAAAAAGTGGACACATCGAAAAATCCAGATGTCAAAAATAGAAAAGCCGAAGAATTTATTTTATTTTTTTTTATTTTATTTTATTTTAAATCATTTGTACATAAAAATACACAGTATGTTTGGTACACGTCAATATAAGGCTATAACATTAAATTGAAATTTTGAAAAATCCTAAAACTGAAATATCTAAAAACTGAAAAATCGAAAAATCAAAAAAATGAAGTCGAAAAATAAAAAAATTAAAGAATTAAAGAACAGGAAAATCGAAACACTCGAAGGTGAAGAAATGGGAAAATCAAAACATCGATTAATTGAAAAATTGAAAAATTGAGTGTTTATAAAAGCCAAATTTGAAAAATTAAAAAACCGAAAATTTGACAAAATGGCAATTGAAAAACAGAAAATCTAAAACCGGGAAGTCGAAAAATCAAAAGATTAAGAAATCGAAACTTGAAAAATTCAAACATTTGAAAAATTCAAATATCGAAGAACTGAACTGAAAAATGCAAAAATCTAAAATTTAAAAAATCTAAAATTGAAAAATCGAAAAATCCAGGAGTCAAAAATCGAAAAGTCGAAGAATCGAAATATTGAAAAATCCCAAAACAGATACCGAAAAACTGAAAAATGGAAAACCTGAAAAATCTGAAAACTGAAATATCTAAAAACCTAAAAACACTTAAAAAGTCGAAAAATTGAGCAAACGAAAAATCCAAAAAGTGAATCGAAAAATCTAGGTAAACCTTAAAAAAACTAAAAAATGAAAAATCGAAAAATTAATGAATTGAAGAACAGGAATATCGAAACCCTCGAAAGTCAAAAAATGGAAAAATCAAAACATCAATTAATTGAAAACTCGAAAAATTGAGAGTTTATAAAAGTCAAATTTGAAAAATTAAAAAATCGAAAATTTGACAATATGACAATTGAAAAACAGAAAATCTAAAACCGGGAAGTCGAACAATCAAAAGATTAAGAAATCGAAACATTTGAAAAATTCGAAAACTTGGAAAAATGAAAATATGGAAGAAGTGAAATGAAAAATCGAGAAATCGAAAAAGTAAAAAAATCGACACATTGAAAAATGCAGGAGTCAAAAATCGAAAAGTCGAAGGATCGAAAATATTGAAAAATCCCAAAACTGAAATATGGAAAAACTGAAAAATGGAAAACCTGAAAAATCCGAAAACTGAAATATCCAAAAACTGAGAACCTAATGATTCGAAAAATTGAGCAATCGAAAAATCCAAAAAGTGAAGTCGAAAAATCTAAACCTTAAAAAAACTAAAAAATGAAAAACCAAAAACCTGAAAAATCGAAAAAGTAAAGAATTGAAGAACAGGAAAATCAAAAGATCGATTAATTGAATAATCGAAAATTTGAAAAAACGACAATTGAAAAATAGAAAATCTAAAACGGGGAAGTCGAAAAATCGAAAGATTAAAAAATCAAAACATTTGAAAAGTTCGAAAACTTGAAAACTGAAATATCGAAGAAGTGAAATGAAAAAACGACAATTGAAAAACAGAAAATCTAAAACCGGGAAGTCGAAAAATCGAAACATTTGAAAAATTGAAATATGGAAGACCTGAAATGAAAAATCGAGAAATCGAAAAATCTAAAATTTAAAAATCGAAAAAGCAAAAAATCGACACTTCGAAAAATCCAGAAGTCAAAAATGGAAAAATCCAAAAACTCAAATATCCAAAAACTGAGAATATAGAGAATCGAAAATTTGAGGAATCGAGAAATCAAAAAAGTGAAGTTGAAATATTGAAAACTTAAAAAAATCGAAAAATTAAAAAATTAAAAACCTGCAAAATCGTTAGATCGAAAAATTCAATAATAAGTAAACTGAAAAATCTCAAAACTGAAATGTCCAAAAACTAAGAAATTAAAAAATTGAAAAATTGAGAAATCGAAAATCAAAATCAATTAACTGAAAAATCGACAAATAAAGAGTTTATAAAAGTCAAGAATTGAAAAATCGAAGTATTTATAAATCGTAAAATTGAAGAAAAAAACTGAAAACCGAGAAATTAAAAAATTGAGAAATTGAAAAATCCAAAAATTGAAAAATAAATACAAGTAAACTGAAAAGTCCCCAAACTAAAGCTTCGCAAAACTGAGAATTCGAAAGTTGAAACAGCAAGAAATTATGGTGAAAACCGGTGAAGATGGGTATCAGATCACGGATCAAAGCTTATACATAAAATCGTTTCCGAACGCTTTTAGAATCGACATTGGCCTGAGTGCGCTCTGGTGTTTAGATCAAACAAGTCCTCAGACGACAAACTATAATTCGTAGAATTAAAGTGAAGGAAAGAGTAAGCAGCTTGTAATATTCTGGGAAATCTAGTGTCAATTTGTCGAAAGTAAAACGCGTCGTTAAAAATATTATGGCATTTTTCTGTTATTTCTTTTCAAGGAAACCGGTTTTGTAAAAGTTTGGAAACCACTGGCGCAGTTACTTGTCGCTGTAGTGATTTTCGATTTAGCCATGGTGGCACTCCTGCGCCGACCATATGGTCGCGTCTGATTGGCCGATTCCGTTTCTAACCACTGACGTGCACCTCTCCTGTCATGTGTTCGATTCGATGTGTCAAATCACAAATTCACACACGTTGACAAACAATTCCACATTATCCACAAAAAATGTATGGAACAAAGTGAGTTAAAAAGTGACCATATTTGCAAAAGCCACAAGCGCACCATAACAAATAAAAATGCAGAAAACGAACAAATTCCTTTTAGAAGCCGCCGTCATCTTCGTCGCCTATTTCTATTTTGGAATCCTCCAAGAAAAAATCACCAAGAGCAAATATTCGTACGAAACGACTGACGATAAAGGCGAGACAGTTTTCCAAACTGAAAAGTACACCTACTTTTTATCGCTAGTATTTATTTTGTGTGCTGTCAACTATGTAGCCGCTATTATAGTGTTAAAAATATGGCCTCAAGACGAAGATAAAACTCCGAGGACGTACTATGTCAGTATTGCTATCACCTACCTGCTGGCGATGGTGTGTTCAAACATGGCCCTACAGTGGGTGCCTTACCCGACGCAGGTTGTTGGCAAATCCGCCAAACCCATACCAGTGATGATCCTAGGAGTCCTACTAGGAAAAAAATCATATCCTTTTAAAAAGTACATTTTTGTTCTTCTAATCGTGATAGGAGTTGTCTTGTTTATGTTTAAAGACAAAGCAAAGTCTTCACAGCAGGACATCGGGTTTGGTTTAGGCGAGCTCTTGTTGATTTTGTCTCTGACAATGGACGGGTTAACTGGAGGGGTGCAGGTACGTATTAATTACCTAAAGCAGTCAAATAAAAGCTAAATTGTCAATTATAGGAAAGAATAAGAACCGAAGCTCGACCCTCCGGCCAACAAATGATGAAAGCGTCAAACGGTTGGTCCACTCTATTCTTAGGAATCGCCATCGTTGTGACGGGCGAGGGTTTAAAGTTTTTCGAATTCGCGCACAGGCATCCAATAATAATTAACAATTTGTTAGTTTTGGGATTGACTCAGGCTGTAGGACAAATGTTTCTGTACAGTATGGTAAGATTGTGTTGTTTGGGGTCAGGAAACAACAATTGTGTGATAGGTTTCAGATTTTGGCCCTCTGGTTGTTTCAGTCGTGACGACAACGAGAAAATTCTTTACTGTCCTAGGTTCGGTGATTATTTTCGGGAACGCTCTAAGTCTTCGTCAGTGGTTAGGCGCAGTGCTCGTTTTTAGCGGGCTCTTCCTCGACGCGTTTTTCTCTAAAGGGACTGCCAAGAAGTCTGGTAACAAGTCCTAAGTCTGTATATTTTGTTGAGATTGTTTTATATATCATATATTTTATTATATGTATTTATGGCGTGTGTGGGGAGTTTTTTTTTACGGATTTAGTGGAGCATTTATACTAAAAAAATGTAAAAATTAATTAAAGTAAATTAAATAAAGTTAGGTTAAGTTACTTGTTTGTGACATTTGTCAACATGGTAGCTTCTGGTTTTCTTGTTTTAAAATCTGTGGGTGGAAGGCGTTTATTAACCCAGGTCTTGAAAGAGAACCATTTTATTTTTACGAGGAAGGTTTAAATTTTGAATGTTCTTGGCGCTTGCGTAAAATTCTATTTTGATATGACAGATGTCACGTGTCATTACTCAAAGGCGGATTATTATGCACAAATATTTGTCAAAATATGCGCATTTGTATGCACAAAATTTCTTCGAAATGTGCACAATTGTACGCATATATGCAGTTTACCCTCTATTTTTTTAGGAAAGTATCGATTTTGCAATTAAGCTCCGCCCCTCGCTCTGACAACGAATGAAAAAATCATCACAATTGAGGTAGGGCGGGCGGGCGGAGCTTATATTTTACTTTTTTTTTTCTTAATATACATACCCATATATTCACAACAAGAAACTTAGAACATGGTTAAAATGGTACGTATTATGCAAGGAAATATGGATTATGCAAGTATGGGGCGGAGCCTAATTGCAAAATGGATATTTCCTTATTTTATTTTATTTTTTTATTTTATTAATTACGTCCCCCAACAGGCACTGAGGCCCAATTACAGGGGAACGGGACATACACGTTACACCCAGAGCCATGGCGGGAATCGAACCCACGACCCAAGGTGTAGCGGGCAAGCATGATGCTAACTAGCCCACCCCGGGTCCTCAATACACATTTTCCATTTTAAACATGTTTTAAGTTTCATGTTGTAAAAAAAAGTCTATACATTTTAAAACAAAAAGGCAAAATGTCAGCCCGCCCACCCGCCCTATCTCAATTGTGATGATTCTTTTTTATTCGGCGTGAACCAGCTTAACTGCAAAATATTTATTTTTTTTACAAGAAATTAAAAACGTGTTTTTAAGTTTCGTGTTGTTCAAAGAGTACCTACCATGTATATTAAGAAAAAAAGGCAAAAATTATAAGCCCCGCCCACCCACCCCGTCCAATTGTAATGATTTATTTTATTCGTAGAAATTTAAAACACGGTTAAAATGGTACACTTTTGTAAGGAAATAAGGATTTTGCAATTAGGCTCCGCCCCTAGGTTTGCCAACGAATGAAAACTTCATTACTATTTAGATCAGGACAGGTATAGGTGGAGCTTAATCTTTGGCTTTAATTTTTTCTTAATATGTATATGTACATAGTATTGTTTGTATAACACGATTCTCAAAAACATGTCTTATATGGTAATTTCTTGTGGAGAAATAATAAGGATTTTGCAGTTAAATTCCCCTCCTTTGGTTCTCGACGATTTAAAAAAAATCATCACAATTGAGAGAGGGTGGGTGGGCGGAGCTTATATTTTGCTCTTTCGCTTAATATATGTAGTTGTCTCTTCAGAACAAGAAACTTAAAACATGTTTAAAATGGTAAATTTGTGTAGGGAAATACATATCGCTTTTGCGATTACGCTCGGCCCTCGATTTGACAACTAATGAAAAATTCATCACGATTGGGATCGAGGTGGATGGGTGCGGCTTCTCTTTTGGCTTTCATTTTTAATTAATACATTTAGTTTTCTGTTTTAGCTATAACGATTACTTTCACATGGTAATTTCTCGTGGAAAAATAAGGATTTTACAAATTAAACTCCGCTCCTCGGCTTACGACAAATAAAAAAAATCATCAGAATTGAGATAGGGTGGGTGGGCGGGGCTTATATTTTGCCCTTTTTTTCTTAATATACATAGCCATCTTTTCACAACAAGAAACTTAAAACATGATTAAAATGGTACATTTTTGCAAGGAAATATGGATTATGTAATTAAGGAGCGGAACCTAATTGCAAAATGGATATTTCCTTATACACATTTTCCGTTTTAAACATGTTTTAAGTTTCATGTTGTGAAAAAAGTCTACACATTTTAAAACAAAAATGCAAAATGTAAGCCCGCCCACCCGCCCTATCTCAATTCTGATGATTCTTTTTTATTTGGCGTGAACCAAGAGGGCGGAGCTTAACTGCAAAGTATTTTATACAAGAAATTAAAACAATGTTTTTGAGTATCGTGTTTCTCAAAGAATACTATGTATATTAAAAAAAGAAAGGCAAAAATATAAGCCCCGCCCACCCACCCCATCTCAATTGGGATATTTTTTTTATTCTTAGAAACTTAAAACACGTTTAAAATGGTACACTTTTGTAAAGAAATATGGATTTTGCAATTAGGCTCCGCCCCTAAGTCTGCCAACGAATGAAAACTTCATTATTATTTGGATCAGGGCAGGAATGGGTGGGGCTTCGTCTTTAGTTTTATTATTATTATGTTTAATATATATGTACATAGTATTGTTTGAATAACATGATACCCAAAAACATGTCTTATATGGTAATTTTTTGTAGAGAAATAATAAGGATTTTGCAGTTAAGTAAATTCCGCTCCTTTGGCTCTCGACGATTTAAAAAAAATCATCACAATCGAGATAGGGTGGGTGGGCGGGGCTTATATTTTGCTCTTTTTCTTAATTTACGTAGTCGTCTCTTCAGAACAAGAAACTTAAAACATGTTTAAAATGATAAATTTGTGTAGGGAAATATCGATTTTGCAATTACGTTCCCCCCCTCGATCTGACAACGAATGAAAAAATCATCACAATTGAGATAGGGCGGGTGGGCGGGGCTTATGTTTTACCTTTTTTTTCTTAATAAGCATAGCCATATTTTCACAACAAGAAACTTAGAACATGGTTAAAATGGTACATTTTATGAAAGGAAATATGGATTATGCAATTATGGGGCGGAGCCTAATTGCAAAATGGATATTTCCTTATACACATTTTCTATTTTAAACATGTTTTAAGTTTCATGTTGTGATAAAAGTCTACACATTTTAAAACAAAAAGGCAAAATATCAGCCCGCCCACCCGCCCTATCGCAATTGTGATGATTCTTTTTTATTCGGCGGAACCAAGAGGGCAGAGCTCAACTGCAAAATACTTATTTTTTTACAAGAAATTAAAACAATGTTTTTGAGTATCGTGTTGTTCAAAGAATACTAAGTAAAGTCGCGATCTTTTCTATAGAACCACTCCCTAGTGTAAATTTTCAAAATTTGTTTGGTGTAAGTGACCTTGACGGGTTTCTGGGGGAAAACATATGTGTCAAAAATTTGACAGGTTAGATGGCCCCATTGTCAATGTAGATATTTTATTTTAATAAATAGATGAACAGAACATACAGTCTGCACGGGATACAGTGCGGCATAGCTGAGGGCAACCGAAACATTCGTATTGTGCTAGTTTCGATTGCCATGTCAACTACCGCTACCAACCGCGTTCGGCGTAAAGTACTAGGTGACAGGGCTACCAACTTGACTTTTTATCGAGTGGTTCCGTAGAAATGACCGCTACTGTATATTAAGAAAAAAAAAGGTAAAATATGAACCCCGCCCACCCACCCCATCTCAATTGAAATGATTTTTTTAATTCTTAAAAACTTAAAACACGGTTAAAATGGTACACTTTCGTAAGGAAATATGGATTTTGCAATTAGGCTCCGCCCCTAGGTCTGCCAACGAATGAAAACTTCATTGCTATTTAGATTAGGACAGGTATGGGCGGGGCTTAATCTTCGGCTTTATTTTTTTCTTAATATGTATACACAGTATTCTTTGAACAACACGATACATGCTTTTAATTTCTCGTAGAGAAATAAGGATTTTGCAGTTAAGCTCCACCTTCTTGGCTCACGACGAATAAAAAAAATCATCACAATTGAGACAGGGCGGGTGGGCGGGGCTAGATTGTGCCTGTTTTTCTTAATATGTGTAGACTTATTTCGACAACATATTAAAACATCTTCAAAATCGTAACATTTTGTAGTAATCTCAACTAAATCCTCCACTTTTCTTCTATAACCCCTTTAAATACGGCAAAAGTTAAACATCAAAATTACTATCAATGGCAACTTGAAAAAAGTTTATAAATGACAATTTTCAGCTTAACAGAGACAACGACAGCGTAGGAATTTTAGTGTATTTTGTAATGTTAGTTTGCTGCCAACTTAGATGTCAACTGTCAAGAAATCCCAATCTCTCACCGGAACGATTATGTCTAGTGAAAACTTAGAAAGAGGTAGTTTCGATTTATTTTTTTTTTTAATTGAAAAAGCGAAATACAAATATCGTCAAAATATACGTCAATCGTTGGCACTGTCCAAAAATTACTACACTTGTAGGGGAAATTTTATGTTACCAACACAAAGCAACAGTTGGACTTTTAATGACAAACAAGTGTTTTATACTTTATGACTCAGTTTCTGGATAACGGGCGTAAAGAAAATTCCAGCTTCACAAACATTAATTTATTCGTTTTAGCAATAATATACAGAACATACATGTAAAATACGTAATAGTAAAAATGAGTCAAAGTAATATCATTGTTACAACATACAACAAACTAAGAACCTATTCTAAATAGTCAACAAGCTCAAAAATTAACTCTGCTATAAAGTTTTGTATAATTGACGGCATCACAACAGTTAAAGTACTTTGAGCTTCTCACATTTTATAAAATTTCGAACACAATACACGTACATAAAATTAACTGGATTAATGTTAAAACACGAATATAAAAAATACAATATAAAAAGTACGTAGTTTTAAAAACAGACTTGAATAAAATGTAATCACTTTCAGTTGAAAACGTTAATCCCTCAGTCGAGTTAAATTAGATTTTATGTATAAATGCAACTATTATATACAAAAATGTACAAAAATATATTACACTTCGTTCGAAAAAAAAAAATGTGCGTTTAAGCAAATTTGGAAGCTTCGTGATCAAGATGGTGCGAAAATGGTTAAACATTGAACACATTAGTATTACTAGCGCGGATTAAATCATTATACTTGTGCGTAACCATTTTCGTTGTATTGCTGTACTGGAGAGCACTTCACGTTTTACATGCTATAATCGTTCTATTATAGAACAGTAATCATGGTGATAATCCCATTTAAATAAAATAAAATTTCGGTATAACAGTTTTTGATCTATGACCACTGGGTAACTAAATCGGAACACGATTCTACAAATTAGTGTTTTGGTGTCGTTGCCAAAGCTTGTGAGATGAAAATTGACGTCAAATTTGTGCTGCTTTCGTATATTAAAAATAGTTGTAGAAGACAGCTGCATACTATATGTACACACGTACTTACAAAAATAGATGCCAATAGACATTAGTAGAAAAAATAAAAACTGTTTCACTTGGCAGTAAACATAAAAATTTGGACAATGTCTACATTGTAGAGGTAGCTAACTTGCAATTCAGTCAAAAACACACTTAAGGTCCATTCACAATGAGATAATTGGTATGTAATACATACGTACGTAACGTCAAATTGTATGATATGAGTCTGCGCAGTACTTATGTCATTGTACTAGATTTTAGCGGATGTTTGCAAATACCAGATACAGGAACGTGTGGGAATTGTATTAACCACACATTTTGTTTAAAAATCAATATTGTTGTTTTTTTTTTAAATTGTATTAAAGTGAAACGCTAGTCACTGTACTGCAAGGGTTTAAACCTCTCGGTATAATCTTCAATATCTTTGTTTTTAACAGTACTTTCACAAATTATCGTTATTACCTAACCTCACAGTTCACGGTTTGAGAGAACAAGTTGCTTGTATTGCGTATGCTCAATTACAACGAACTATTATCTCACTGTGAATACAACTTGATATAAGAAATCTCGTTTTTAAACATAAGCCGCCTGCCTTCCTCTCAATCGGTTAAAGAACACCTTCCAACTATGCACGGTCTTGCCCGACCAAATCCACACACTAGAAGTGATCCCCACGATCATGTACATCAGGTACTTGATCATGAATATGGGAAACAAAGGCCTTGGGGTATTTTCGAGGACGTCGGGCGGGCAAGGCACCGCATAGCTATGCTTCCTACACATGTCATAGCTCCACGTGATCATCCAATCGTCGAAATAAAACTGTTCGTAAACCAAACACGCGATTACGATCATCGCAGGTACGGTATATAATACTGAAAAAACGCCAATGCGTATCATGAGTTTCTCGAGTTTGTCGGTTTTCGTGCCGTCGTGTTTCATTACGGTTCGAATTCGAAAGAGAGAAATTAAACCTGACGTTAGGAATACCAACCCGAAGACTAGATAGATGCAGAGGGGGATGAGGATGAAGATGCGGAGGGCCTCCACGTTCCAGATGCCGACGTTGCACACTCCGCTCAGAATGTCGCCTACAACAAAATGTGATTTGAGTGTAATGTTGGTTGCATAATATATGACTGCAAAAACTCTAGCAGGCCATGCATTTGACCAGAGAACATAGAGAAGCGTCATAGTTTGACGTATGTTGGCAACAATGTTTGTTTCTAACTAGGAATAAAATTAACTAGAAAAAATGCCATAACATTTACATTTTTCGTGGTTTGAGAACTTGTTTGATCTACAAACCAGAGAGCAGTGAGGCCAATGTCGACCCTAAGCGTTCAGAAACGATTTGATTTATAAGCCATGGGGTGCGATTTAGTTTCTCGATCGAAGTGATAAATTATCACTTGCGATAAATGTCATTGCGTAGCTTTTAAATGCAAGAGTTTGCATTTATTCTTCGCATATAGGCCTATTAAATGCTCAAAAGTTTACAATTACCTTAATTTTAACAACTTATAACTCAGAATTACGATTTTGAACTTCTATTTTGATGTAACTTTCGAGGTTATGTCTCCAAAATTTATCACTTCACTCAGAGCTATCGAGAAAATATTACTTCATGAAGACTTGATTTCGTGACAGAATCGAGAAATGTGACAGAAATGTCTTACCAACTCAGCCTCTCAACCAATCAGCAAACGAGATTTTATCGCTATCAAGTTTTTTTCGATCGAGAAACAAAATCGCACCCCTGATACCCATCCTAACCGGTTTCGACCATAATTTCGAATTCTCAGTTTTTCGAAATTTTAGTTTGGGGACTCTTCAGTTTACTCCTATTTATTTTTCAATTTTTGGATTTTGCAATTGCTCAATTTTTCAGTTTCTCGGTTTTCAGTTTTTCTCTTCAATTTTACGATTTTTAAATATTTCGATTTTTCAATTTCTCGATTAATCGACTTTTTGATTTTTCGTCTTTCCGATTTCTCGATTTCTCAAATTTTCAATTTTTAAGTTTTGGGATTTTTCAATATATATTTCGATTTTTTAATTTTTAGATTTTTCGACTTTGTTTTTCTGATTTTTTACTTACTCGATTTTCCAAAATATTGCGACTTTTTAAATCTTACATTTTTCGATTTATTGTTTCTTGATTGCTCGATTTTTAAAATTTTTAATTTTTCGAATTTTCATATTTTAGATTTTTCACTTTTTTGTTGTTTCGATTTCTCAATCTTTGGATTTTTTGCCTTCCCTTGTCAGTTTTTCGATATTTTGATGATTTTTCAATTTTCGATTTATCGGGTTTTTAAGTTTAAATTTTTCCATTTTGAATGTTCCCATGTTTCGATTTCGCGTTTTTAAAATTTTTCGATTTCCATCTCTCGATTTCTCAGGTTTTCGATTATTCGAGTTTCCAATTTTTTGATTTTTCAATTTTTCAATTTTTAGCGTTTCTAAATTTTTGTAGTTTTCGATGTCTCAATTTCTCGATTAATGAATTTTTTTATTTTCCGATTTTTCGATTTTTCAAAATATTGCGACGTTTTAAATCTTACGTTTTTCGATTTGTTGTTTCTTGATTGCTCGATTTTTAAAATTTTCAATTTTTCGAATTTTTATATTTTAGATTTTTCACTTTTTTGTTGTTTCGATTTCTCAATGTTTGGTTTTTTTGCCTTCTCGTTTTTAGATTTTTCAGTTTTTCGGAATTAATTTGTCAGTTTTTCGATATTTTGATGATTTTTCAATTTTCGATTTATCAGGTTTTTAAGTTGAAATTTTTCCATTTTGAATGTTCCCATGTTTCGATTTCGCGTTTTTAAAATTTTTCGATTTCCATCTCTCGATTTCTCAGGTTTTCGATTATTCGAGTTTCCAATTTTTTGATTTTTCAATTTTTCAATTTTTAGCGTTTCTAAATTTTTGTAGTTTTCGATGTCTCAATTTCTCGATTAATGGATTTTTTTATTTTCCGATTTTTCGATTTTTCAAAATATTGCGACGTTTTAAATCTTACGTTTTTCGATTTGTTGTTTCTTGATTGGTCGATTTTTAAAATTTTCAAGTTTTCGAATTTTTATATTTTAGATTTTTCACTTTTTTGTTGTTTCGATTTCTCAATGTTTGGTTTTTTTGTCTTCTCGTTTTTAGATTTTTCAGTTTTTCGGAATTAATTTGTCAGTTTTTCGATATTTAGATGACTTTTCAATTTTCGATTTATGAGGTTTTAAGTTGAAATTTTTCCATTTTGAATGTTCCCATGTTTCGATTTCGCGTTTTTAAAATTTTTCGATTTCCATCTCTCGATTTCTCAGTTTCTCGATTATTGGAGTTTCCAATTTTTTGATTTTTCAATTTTTCAATTTTTGGCGTTTCTAAATTTTTGTACTTTTCGATGTCTCAATTTCTCGATTAATGGATTTTTTTATTTTCCGATTTTTCGATTTTTCAAAATATTGCGACGTTTTAAATCTTACATTTTTCGATTTGTTGTTTCTTGATTGCTCGATTTTTAAAATTTTCAATTTTTCGAATTTTTATATTTTAGATTTTTCACTTTTTTGTTGTTTCGATTTCTCAATGTTTGGTTTTTTTGCCTTCTCGTTTTTAGATTTTTCAGTTTTTCGGAATTAATTTGTCAGTTTTTCGATATTTTGATGATTTTTCAATTTTCGATTTATCAGGTTTTTAAGTTGAAATTTTTCCATTTTGAATGTTCCCATGTTTCGATTTCGCGTTTTTAAAATTTTTCGATTTTTCAATTTTTCAATTTTTAGCGTTTCTAAATTTTTGTACTTTTCGATGTTTCAATTTCTTGATTAATGGATTTTTTTATTTTCCGATTTTTCGATTTTTCAAAATATTGCGACGTTTTAAATCTTACATTTTTCGATTTGTTGTTTCTTGATTGCTCGATTTTTAAAATTTTCAATTTTTCGAATTTTTATATTTTAGGTTTTTCACTTTTTTGTTGTTTCGATTTCTCAATGTTTGGTTTTTTTGCCTTCTCGTTTTTAGATTTTTCAGTTTTTCGGAATTAATTTGTCAGTTTTTCGATATTTTGATGATTTTTCAATTTTCGATTTATCAGGTTTTTAAGTTGAAATTTTTCCATTTTGAATGTTCCCATGTTTCGATTTCGCGTTTTTAAAATTTTTCGATTTCCATCTCTCGATTTCTCAGGTTTTCGATTATTCGAGTTTCCAATTTTTTGATTTTTCAATTTTTGGCGTTTCTAAATTTTTGTACTTTCGATGTTTCAATTTCTTGATTAATGGATTTTTTTATTTTCCGATTTTTCGATTTTTCAAAATATTGCGACGTTTTAAATCTTACATTTTTCGATTTGTTGTTTCTTGATTGCTCGATTTTTAAAATTTTCAATTTTTCGAATTTTTATATTTTAGATTTTTCACTTTTTTGTTGTTTCGATTTCTCAATGTTTGGTTTTTTTGCCTTCTCGTTTTTAGATTTTTCAGTTTTTCGGAATTAATTTGTCAGTTTTTCGATATTTTGATGATTTTTCAATTTTCGATTTATCAGGTTTTTAAGTTGAAATTTTTCCATTTTGAATGTTCCCATGTTTCGATTTCGCGTTTTTAAAATTTTTCGATTTCCATCTCTCGATTTCTCAGGTTTTCGATTATTCGAGTTTCCAATTTTTTGATTTTCGATTTTTCAATTTTTAGCGTTTCTAAATTTTTGTACTTTTCGATGTCTCAATTTCTCGATTAATGGATTTTTTTATTTTCCGATTTTTCGATTTTTCAAAATATTGCGACGTTTTAAATCTTACATTTTTCGATTTGTTGTTTCTTGATTGCTCGATTTTTAAAATTTTCAATTTTTCGAATTTTTATATTTTAGATTTTCCACTTTTTTGTTGTTTCAATTTCTCAATGTTTGGTTTTTTTGCCTTCTCGTTTTTAGATTTTTCAGTTTTTCGGAATTAATTTGTCAGTTTTTCGATATTTTGATGATTTTTCAATTTTCGATTTATCAGGTTTTTAAGTTTAAATTTTTCCATTTTGAATTTACCCATTTTTGATCTTGTAATTATTTCGATATCTCAATGTTTCGATTTCGCGTTTTTAAAATTTTTCGATTTCCATCTCTCGATTTCTCAGTTTTTCGATTATTCGAGTTTCCAATTTTTTGATTTTTCAATTTTTCAATTTTTGGCGTTTCTAAATTTTTGTACTTTTCGATGTCACAATTTCTCGATTAATGGATTTTCTTATTTTCCGATTTTTCGATTTTTCAAAATTTTGCGAGTTTTTAAATCTGGCCCACCCGCCCAATCTCAGTTGTGATGATTTTTTTTATTCGTCGTGAGCCAAGGAGGCAGAACTTAACTGCAAAATCCTTATTTCTCTACGAGAAATTATAAGCATGTTTTTGAGTATCGTGTTATTCAAAGAATACAGTGTATATTAAGAAAAAAATAAAGCCAAAGATTAGGCCCCACCCATAACCTCCGCCCCGATTTCAATTCTCAATTGTGATGAATTTTTTCTTTCGTTGTCAAATCGAGGGGCGGAGTTTAATTGCAAGATCCATATTTGTGTACAAGAATTTACCATTTTAAACAAGTTTTAAGTTTCTTGTTCTTATATTTTGCCTTTTTTTCTTTATATACATAGTATTCTGTGAACAACACGATACTCAAAAACATTGTTTTAATTTCGTGTAAAAAAAATAAGTATTTTGCAGTTAAGGTCCGCCCTCTTGGTTCACGCCGAATAAAAAAGAATCATCACAGTTGAGATAGGGTGGGTGGGCGGGCTGACATTTTGCCTCTTTGTTTTAAAATGTGTAGACTTTTTTTCACAACATGAAACTTAAAACATGTTTAAAATGAAAAATGTGCATAAGGAAATATCCATTTTGCAATAGGCTCCGCCCCATAATTGCAAAATCATATTTCCTTGCAAAAATTAACCATTTTAACCATGTTCTAAGTTTCTTGTTGTGAAAATATGGTTATCAGATCGAGGGGCGGGGCGTAATTGCAAAAGCGATATTTCCTTACACAAATTTACCATTTTAAACATGTTTTAAGTTTCTTGTTCTGAAGAGA